TGAGCAACACAGGCAGACTCTGACTCTACAAAAAGTGAAAAAAATTACTCAGGTGTGGTGGCCAATACCTGGAGTCCCAGATATTTTCTGGGGCTGAGGTGGGAGTATAGCTTGAGCCCAGGAGTTGGAGATTGCAGTGAGTTATAGTCGCATCACTGCACTCTCATCTTGGTGACTGAGCAAGACCCTATCTCAAAAGAAGAGCAAAAAAAACAAAACAAATAAAAAACTAATAAATCAACTACTATTATTGACCTTATCTAAAATAGTTCCTTACAGAAGATAGGTCGGACTGTCTGGGAATGTCTGAGTGATGTTCTCCTGCTTACCACAGCAAACCTCACACAAATTTGTAATCCAATTTAAAAGGCTAAAAGAAATTAGAAAAGGGAATGTTTCGTCCAGGGGCGGCGGCTCACGCCTGTAATCCCAGCACTTTGGGAGGCCGAGGCGGGTGGATCACGAGGTCAAGAGATCGAGACCATCCTGGTCAACATGGTGAAACCCTGTCTCTACTAAAAATACAAAAATTCAGCTGGGCATGGTGGCGTGTGCCTGTAATCCCAGCTACTAAGGAGGCTGAGGCAGGAGAATTGCCTGAACCCAGGAGGCGGAGGTTGCAGTAAGCCAAAATCACGCCATTGCACTCCAGCCTGGGTAACAAGAGTGAAACTCCGTCTCAAAAAAAAAAAAAAAAAAAAAAGAAAAGGGAATGTTTCTAAAAGTGAATGGCACACAGATCCTTTCACTCAGGCAGAGTTCTTTCACTGCCTAAACTTCAACTAAGTGCTCCTCCTGTATATACCCTGTCTCTCAGCACATTGTATCCTTTACATATTCCTAATAATATTGCATATTCCCTAAGCGTAGAGTTGTGGTTTTATCTCAGAATCAGGACAGTGAATGACATATAGTTGGCAACAAACAATGTGTATGAATGTGTGTACATAAGAGAACTCTAGTTAGCCTCTCTAGCTCAAGTTCTGTCTACTTCAAATTATCTTATTTTCTTTTTAAGGCTTTAGGTTTCTAAAATAAGAGGTTTTGATATATCATTAAGTGAATATTTTGCTCTGATTATTATGATCACTGTGCCCAATAATCTATAATACAGTTTTTTGTCTTTTAAGTGTGCTTTTATCTTATTTTATTTTATTTGAGAGAGAATCTCACTTTGTTACCCAGGCTGGAATGCAGTGGTGTGATTACAGTTCACTGCAACCTCCACCTCCCAGGCTCAAATGATTCTTCTGTCTCAGCCTCCTGAGTAGCTGGGATCACAGGTGCCTGCCACCATGCCCACCTAATTTTTGTATTTTTAGCAGAGAGAGGGATTTCACCATTTAGGCCAGGCTGCTCTTGAACTCCTGATCTCAGGTAATCCACCCGCCCCGGCCTCCCAAAGTGCTGTGCTGGGATTGTGCCACCATACCCGGCCTAAATGTATTTTTAATTGACAGTAATTGTGTATACTTATGGGGCATGATGTGATATTTTGATCTATATATATACATTACTGAAAGATTCAGACAAGCTAATGAACATATTTATCACCTCACCGACTTATTTTTTTTTGTGATGAGAACATTAAAAATCTATTCTTTAAGGAATTTGAAAAAAATACACAATACATTAACTGTAGTCCTTATGCAATGCAGTAGATCATGAGAACATATTCTTTCAGTTTAACTGAAACTGTGAACACTTTGATCAATGTTTTCCCTTTCCCCATCCCTCCTTCTCCCACCATCTTCTGATAACTATCTCTCTATTCTCTGTTTCTTTGAGATTAATTTTTTTAGATTGCATATACAAATAAGATCACACAATATTTGTCTTTCTGTGCCTGGCTTGATTTACTTAATATAATGTACTGTAGTTCCAAGCATGTTGTCTTGAATGGCAGAAGGTTCTTTTTTAAGGCTATATGGTACTCCATTATGTTTATATATCACATTTTCTTTATTCATTCATTGATGGATACTTAGTTTACTTCTGTACCTTGATTATTGTGAATAATGTTGAAAAAAAGAGTGCAGACATAACTTAGATACCAATTTTAATTGCTTTGGATATATGCACAGAAGTAAGATTCCTGGATTATATGGTAATTCTATTTTTGTTTTTTTGAGGAAACGCCATACTGTTTTTCAAAGTGACTGTTTTAATTTACATTCCACAGTGGTATCTCCCCCTCCCTCCTTCCCTCCTTCCTTTCTTCCTTCTTTCCTTTTTGCCGTTAAAATAATATATGCTTTGTTTAATGAAAATCTACATGATGCAGTGGCTATATGCTCTTTGTTTATTCTTAAAATTAGCATTTTACAGGAAAAAGTACCTAGAAACCCAGCTAACCATGGAGATGAGAGATCTCTACAAGGAGAACTACAAAACACTGTTCAAAGAAATCAGAGATAACACAAACAAATGGAAAAATATTCCATGCTCATGGATAAGAAGAGTCAATATCATTAAAATAGCCACACTGCACAAAGCATTTTATAGGTTCAGTGCTATTTCTGTCAAACTCCCAATGACATTCTTTACAGAACTAGAAAAAAACTATTTTAAAATTCATATGGAACCAAAAAAGAGCCCGAATAGCAAAGGCAATTTTAAGCAGTAGAACGAAGCTGGAGGCATCATACTACCCAACTTCAAACTATGCTACAGGGCTACCGTAACCAAAATAGCATGGTACTGGTACAAGAGCAGACACATAGACCATTGGAACAGGATAGAGAACCCGAAATAAGCCTGCACACCTCCAACCATCTGATTTTCTACAAAGCTGACAAAAACAAGCAGTGGGTAAAGAACTCCCTATTTAATAAATGGTGCTGGGATAGCTGGCTAGACATATGCAGAAGATTGAAACTGGACCCCTTCCTTATACCACATGCAAAAGTTAACTCAAGATGGATTAAAGACTTAAATGTAAAACCTAAAATTATAAAATCCCTGGAAAAACTTAGGCAATGCCATTCTGGACATAGGAATGGGCAAAGATTTTATGATAAAGACACCAAAAGCAATTGTGACAAAAGTAAAAATTGACAAATGGGATCTAACCAAACTAAAGAGTTTCTGCAAAGCAAAAGAAACTATCAAGAGAGCAAACAGGCAACCTGTAGAATGGGAGAAAATGTTTGTAAACTATGCATCTGACAAAGGTCTAACATTCAGCTTCTACAAGTAACTTAAACAAACTTTTAAGAAAAAAGCAAACAACCTCATTAAAAAGTGGGCAAAGGAAATGAACAGATAACTTTTCAAAAGAATACATACATGTGACCAAGAAGCATATGAAGAAAAGCTCAGCATCACTGATGATTAGAGAAATGTGAATCGAAAGCATAAGAGACCATCTCACACCATTCAGAATAGTTATGAGTAAAAAGTCAAAGCAAAAAGAGGTGTTGCTTTTAAAAATGGGTTTGTGGATTTTCTTTTAAAAAATCTAGAATTTATAGACTGATACAGAAAAAGTTGAAATTTCCCTATGAATATGGGCAAGGGAAAATAAGTCAGCATAAAATTGTGAAATAATTTAGACTTATACTAAAGAAATCCATTCCTTTTGGTGGCGTGTATTAGGCAGAAAATAATTATGGAAGAAAGATTAACACAAGGAAAACCAAGGATGGGGCCTGCTAATGTACACAATTTTATTGTTAAGAGAAACATGGACAACAGAGCAAAAGAATATACAGAATGTGACGAACAGGAGTTCAAACTACCTTAATATTTATGGCTTTGAGTTACCTTAATAATTCACTAAACAGTGCTTTCAAATTATGCTCCATGGAATGCCTAATGCTTTGTGAAACACCAAAAGTACTCAGGGAAAGGAGTAATGGTGGCACTGAGTATTTGGATCTGTGATTCAGCCAGGATACATTATTATTAATGGGCCATGTACTAAGGTTTTATTGCAAGAAAGAAGGGTTTTTAGCTCAACAGCATAACTATTCAACAAAGATGGCAAGTGATGCCGGTCATCCTTTACAATGCCTATGGCAGACATTGCTAATTGAACATAGAACTTCTTGCTGCTGACTCAGATTTTGTCTCCATACAGCTCTCCATTTAGTCATTACGGATCAATCAGAGTGTTGAGTCAAAACCCGTGTACTATCTATACCAGGGATATCTAATCTTTTGACTTCTCTGGGCCACAGTAAAAGACGAATAATTATCTTGGGTCACGCATAAAATACGCTAACACTGATAGGTGAATGGCTAAAAATAAAATGCAAAAAAATCTCATAGTGTTTTAAGAAAATTTACAAATTTGTGTTGGGCTGCATTCAAAGTCGTCCTGGTGGTGAGTTGGACAAGCCTGATCTGTATAGTACTAGGTTCTGTAACTTTATTGGACTTTCAGTACACTTAACATATTTTAGCCCAAGAAAGGTGTGAGCTAAATCTGTCAGATTAAAGAAGGAAGAAACTAGAAACAGAGAGTGGTTGAATTGGAAATGGATCTGGGAAATACAAACTTAAGTAAGCATTTCAGTAATAACCCTTACATTGTGATTATGAGGAGTAAATTCTTACTACCAATTTGTTAATTGTGGAAAAGCCTTCAAAGCTCATTAACTGTGTTGAAGAGCAATTGAAATCAGACATGTTTTCAGTTAAGAAATTGGAGACAGAAATAATTCTTTCTATAAATTAATATTTAATCATTGAAAAGTTTAAACTTCCCAAATCAATGACAGTGGGAAATAAAATCTCCATCTCTTGGAAGTGCATCTTATACTGTCTCCATGGCCTTTGCTTTGCACCAAACAATGCCTTGAAAATTCTCTAAATTTAAATGTAGAAAAAGCGTTTTTATGCATATTTGAATATTCACAAAATAATGCATGTTAACATTAACATTTTCCTTTGTAAGGATGAATATGTTTTATGTTCTGCGAAGTCATTGCACTAATTGTGATGTAAATTTAAATTTAATTTTCTAAGCAGTGAAAATTATTTGTCTCTATTAATAGGTCTACTCTAATGTGATGCTGGGATTGAATTTTCCTAAGACTCCATTTCAAGGTTGATTCAAAAGTCTTGTGGAAGATCTGGAAGAAATAGGTAAGTGTCCTTTGGTAAAAATTATCTTTTGCTCATTGTGCTTATTTTTATTTTTCTAATGCTGATTTTATTCTTTAATTTTTTTGGTTAAGTATCTTTGCCCAGATGTTAAGAAGTATTCAGCATACTATGGAGACATGTTAAGTAGGGCAGTAGAAATATTTATCACTGCTTTTGGGGTTTTCATTTCACTACTTGCTGCTCTCTTTCTATTAAATGTGGTATCACTTTTTAAAACCAGCATACACTCATAGGGAATATGAATTTGGCCTGAAATGTTAAAAGTAAATTATTAGTTAAGAAAAGTACTTGAAGTGTCTTATTACCATTGTGCTTACCTTTTATTATGCTGGTATTTTCAGTATTATTTTTTAAAAGTTCAAATGATATTGAAGTTTTGGGGGTATCGAGAAGTATTGAGAAAATAATCACAGTAATATAACAGTAATGATTATTTTATTGAAAATTTGATTTTTCTAATATAATTTTTGAGATCCAATCAGCTGTTTTGGAAGATTTGTTTTCTTTTTTAATGTTGTGTAGCTTTAAATCTCTTGATAGTTTTCCTTGATATTTACAATGTTAACATATAAAGGCTCTCAATATATAACACAAAATGGGTTTTTCAGTTTCACTGTTGTGCTATAATATCAATCAAACAGTTTGTCATGAGTATCCAAATTCATGATAATATAATTATAATTTTAAAAGAAACCTAAAAGAAATTTTAGGCAGAGTTTGTATTTTAAAGCTTCCTAGTAGTGTATATCATATCTTTCCCCTATTTTTACCTCAGGAGAGAGGGAAACCAAAATGCCCTGGCTTCTTCAGAATTCTTCATTAAGAGTTTCACCCTGAGCATAGGACAGGCCTCAGGATCTTCCCTTTCTACTCAAATTTCTCCACCAATTTCTACAACTTTCTCAAGATACACTCCATAATCTCTCTGAGAGATATTTGTCAATGTTCTTTAGTTGTACAGTTACATACTTTCCAGATATTTTACCTTCTGTTTTTCCTGTGGATTTTTTTTTTTTGGTTCATTTCTTACCAGTTTTATCATTTTACCAGATACACATTAAAATGATTCCACATTTATGTAGTATTTAAGATTTTCAAAGCACTTTAACAACCTTTTACTTCATTTTACTCTTAATTTATGATGTAAGTAAGGTTGACATTAATATTCTTTTGTAAGTAGAGAAACAAAGACAAAGAATTAAAATGATTTGGAAAAAGTTATATAGCTTGTTGTCATTTTACAGTTAGTAACAAACAATTAGGTGTTAGAACACATGTCTGCTAACACTCAAGCTTTTTTGTAGTTAGTGGAACATTATTTGTATGTTTGCCGTAGATAATGGTTATATTAATATACTCCATCTTTACACAACCTTTTGATAAACAAGTTATTATTTTTGAGTAACAGCGTGTTTATTTGTATAATAGCAGAGGGAGTTTAGATTTTTAATAAGCAGGAATTATCTGACAATAAACAAGGAAGGAATGAATCACGGAATCGTAAGATGAACTATTTTTAGAAAATAGAGAATCTTCTTCCTAGAAGAGAATATAATTGCACTTGAAGTTAGTCCTCGAACTGATTTTGGAATGTGCTACTTAGACTTTTTGTTTTTAATTAAACACTAACCACTTATTGGTGTAAATAATGAATATACATAATGCCGAAGTTTTAACTTAATGGGAAAGTGCATTCTGAAAAGGCGTTTTTCCTCAAAAATGTATACAATTTTGAACCCTTGAGCTGGAAGTATGATCGTAAGAGAAGAATAAACTGATGGAGAAGCAAAGATTTTGGAGTCGGATTGACAGGAGTTTGCATCCTTGCTGCTATTTTTTGGCTTTTTAAATCAACCTCTATTAATTTTTGCTTTTCAGCTCTCAAAGAGTAAAAGGGGGGACTAACAGATATGTTTATTTTATTATTGTAAAAATTTAGGACTTGGTACATAGCTATTTTCAAGAAATACTGGACTTTTGTCTTCTCTGTTCCCTTCCCCCAAATAATCCCTAAATGGACCTCGGTTCAAACTTTCTATTTTCAAATACATATTTTTTAGTTTTATCTCCATTTCACCTCTCAAAGATGTTAAATAACCTGCCCTACATAATACTTATCAGATGGGAACTAAAATGCTGTTTCATACAACTTATAACAGAGTATTTATGTAAGTGGGTAAATGCGTAGTTGGGCATATAGGTGGGTGTGTTTTACTTTAAGATATTCAGTTATTTTTAGAGTTTCCACTGCAAGACTATTAAACTGAAATTAAATATCAGTTTTAGTTAATTCAGTGCAGTAGAAATAATTTTCATTCACATATTTATAGAAAATTGCTATAGATTCCATAAATACTTATTAGAGGTTAGGTATCGTACATGAAAAATATTTTCACTATTTTTTGAATTATTAAAAAAAACGTAAATGGACTATGTGGGAAGCTGGTTTGGTGGACAGGGGGTTGGTTCAGCAATTCAGATACATAGCATACTGATATTCATTGTCAACTGATATTCATTATCAAAAGGAAACAGAATGAGCAAGACTGCAAATAGAGGCGATAGGGTGGAGCTGTTGGGAATCCAAAGTTGGAAATCAGATTGCCTTGGTTTGAGTGATGCTTCCAAAGTAAACCAACTTTATGTGAAACCTTGAACAAGTCATCAAGGCTCTTTTACACTTAATTTGTCAATCTAGAAAATAGAGATAACATTACCTACTTAATAGAGTTTATGTGAGGATTAATTATGTGAATAATATAAAGGGCATAATGAACATTTAAAAAGTTAGTATTACTTTGTTTTCTATTATATTCATTTCAATGGCTGACTGTATTATTCAGGCCATGTGGCAAATACCCTATATAGAATAATCTCATTTATATCCAATCATGGGTCTTACAAGAAATGCTAAATATGAGTTAATTCTTTGTCTTGGTTATTTTACATTGTTATAACAAAGTATCATAGACTGAGTGGATTATAAACAACAAAAATTTATTTCTCACAGTAATGGGTGCTGGAAGATTCACTTCAGGCTGCCAGCCAGCAAAGTTGGGTTCTGTTGAGCACCTTCTTTCAGGTTGTAGACTGTCATCTTCTTTCTTGTGTCCCCACATGTCAGAAAGAGGTTGAGAGAACTTTCTGGGGTTTCTTTTATAAAAAGGGCACTAATTACATTCATGAGGGTTGTATCTTCATGGCCTAATTACCTACCACAGGTTCCACCTCCTAATACCATCACATTGTGGTATAGGATTTTAACATAGGAATTTGGGGACAACACAGGCATTCAGTGTATGACATTATGTACCTGTGCTCTCTGGGTATGGTTAGGATGTATATTAGTTTTCTGTTACTATATGATAAATTTTCATATATTTATAAGCTTAAAAACAACATAAATGTATCAACTCACAATTCCTTCGGGTTAAGAGTCCAGGCCCTGACAGTTTAGCTCAGGGTCTTAAAAGATTGCAATCAAGATGTCAGCAAGGTTGCATTTTCATATAGAGCTCAGGGTCCTCTTCCATGCTCATTGATTTTCGGCTGAATTCAGTTCACCGCAGTTTTAGGACTGAGATCCTCAGTCTCTAAAGTCCACCTTCCTCCCATGTGACACTCTCCATACACAGTTTACAACAAAGCAGCTTTCTTCTTTAAGACCAGCAGGAGAGTCTATACTGCATGCTACCAAAATGGAGCCTGTGTGTGTGTGTGTGGTTAATATACACGCACACATGTGTATATATATGTGTATGTATATATGGATGTGTGTGTGTGTATGTATGTGTGCGTGTATATGTGTGTGTGTGTGTGTGTGTGTGTATATATATATGTATGTGTATTGAAGTAATTATCAGAGTGACAACCCATAACCTTTGCCATATTCTATTGGCTGGAAACAAGTCACAGGTCCTGCGCACACTCAAGGGGAAGGAATTTTACAGGGCACGAATATGGGGGAAACCCTGGATACTGTCTGCCAAAGCATGTTAAACTTAAAATTCATGAAATATATTACCTTAATGTTTTATAATTATGCTATAGTAAATAAAAAAGAACATTGTTGAAACGTGTAAAAAATTTTTTTCATAGAGTTTTCTTTTTTCTTTTTCTTTTTTTTTTATTGCATTTTAGCTTTTGGGGTACATTTGAAGAACATGCAAGATAGTTGCAAAGATACACACATGGCAGTGTGATTTGCTGCCTTCCTCCCCTTCACCTATATCTGGCATTTCTCCTCATGCTGTCTCTCCCCAACTCCCCACCCCCCATTGTTACAATATAACTCCCAGCAGACCATTCCTCCTTGCCTAAAATTAATCCATTGTTTCAAGCTGGCTAAAACCACCAGACTAATTATAGCCTAGACCTAGTGTGGTATTTAGTACACCCAAGAATGTGGCAAAACACAGATATCTTACCCTTTCTCTTTACTCTGATATGTATACCTTTAACTACATGTTTTACATTTTCTCGCCTACATCTTTGTCAGTGTACACCCTTTTCTTTCCCGTTCTCTATCTTTTTAAAGCACATTTACATTTCTACCTTTTTCCACTATACTTTTCTTATTTCTTACCTCTTTTTTAGCTAGCCTAGGACTTTTTCTGCATAGAATCATGCCATATCATAGACAATCTGATGTTATAGATATGCGATCATTAATCTCATTCCCCTACTACCCATAGAGATTACAGAATGTTGCTCATTTGTGTGTTTCTTAAAATGCTGCATGTAATAGTATCTTTAGAAATATTCATCGAATATGTAAAACACCTTCTTGATTTAGAACAGTGGTCTAACAGACAGTATTCAGTTTGACAGTCGTATTTCAGAAGATGTTCTTTATAAGTTATTCACTTTTATATTGGCTCAGTAATTTGAAATATACCTCAAATAACCCTTAAGTTACTTGTGAGAATCCATTACAGTTTACACCTTTGAAACCAATTACATATGAGAAGAATATGAAT